TCTCAGCAGCGTAATCCACAACTGAAAAAGTTAGGAATATGGCTAGATACTAAGGAACGTTTAATCAAGCATAAGCATACTTTGATAGATTACAGTAAAGTTGTGGAAAACAAACAACTGGAAAAATGAATAGTTAAATTGTATTGAAATGAGACATTACTGAATACCGCATCATCAAAGGTCTCGAGTTAAACCCCGATGTGTTCGTGGAAACATGTTGCCGAGGTGTCGCAAACAAGGACAAGATAGTTAATTATTCAGCGATCGACTTAGGTTTCAATGATGAACTAACTAATATCAACTTGTACCAAGTATTTTGTAGTGAATTCATTAAATCGGAATCTAGTGGTCAGTTGTTCGATAAATGATACAGTGGTATCGAGGCTAATTACAATTATTTGACAATTTTAGTTGAATGAAGTACACAACATGCAAAATTTATTGTTATTCAACATAAAAATCATTAACATGTTGATCATAAATGTCTATTCATTTCTATTTTTATTCATGAATATATTCTGTTAAAAAATTCAAATAAATATTGCTCAAGATTTAGCATACAAAAATTGTGAACATAACATATAATTGGGAAAAAGTTTGACCAGCCTTCGTTCAATTTTTAATTGTGTGTAAATTTATGATGGAGAATAAGTGGCGACAAACAATAACGAAATAATTCGTTTGATACTTGTCAGGGTGCAGTAGTATAACTAACTATGGTGTCAAATTTATACAACCTATAAACAGACTGACCTTGAGAAATTTCTAACCAATCAAGAGGCAATAAATATGAAATCGATAGATTGTTGTTGCATCAGTGATGCATTTCTCTGATTTGGTTGCCGTATCTTAGATGTCAGAGTTTAGGGTTACTTTTTTTGTACAATGACATAACGACCCAATCTTAACAATTTACTGAAACAACATATCATATCATCTTGTGCTTCTTTTAAATTTATATTCATAATCATTTCAATCTTCAGACGACAAGTTTTATTCATTAAACGGTAGGCGATTGACATTTGTACCATGACCTTGACGCTCTACTATTTGTTAATTTTGATTTGTCCAGCACTACACATATACTTGAACTTGATCCTGTTTGGTCAACAAATATATTATTTATAATAGTTTGGTTCAGTGTGGATTATTTAAAGTTATATCTTAAATAAATTTATTAAAGGATATCACAGTTATTCACTGACCTTCTTCAATTTTTCCACAGCTAATCGAATGTGCAATTTCTTCGTCAACTTTTAGAATTGATGTACTAGTTAATACTCTCTCTTCTTTAGGTGATGATGATTTATCAACTGGAATATCTTCGTTCAACTGATCAACAGTATTATTATTATTATTATTATCATTACTGGTAAGATGTAAATTTGACAGATGTTGTTGTTGTTGTTGTTCTGTAACAGCACAATTGTCATTGTGAGCATTAATTTTCATATTGAAAATAATAAAAACACAAATAAGTTGGAATATTTGTGAATCAAATGGAAAAGAGAAGAGAAACACAATCTCTTACCACTAGTATAATAAACAAGTTTAAATATGATCGTAACACAAGTGACCAAGTTTATAATACCAATAGATTGGTTGCTGGAACGACTTCGCTATAAATAGACGAGATCAGGTTATATCAGATATCCCATTTGCAACTAATAATAGAGAACCGAAGTATACGTCTAGACAATATTTTTATTCCACATATTTACAAGCAGATAATCTCAGTAAGTCCATAGCAGAAATCAATAAGAGGGAAAGGTAGTTGCAAAGCAAGATCAACATTGCCCGATGCAGTAAAATTGGTAATAACTAAAAGGATTTTGGAACATATGACGAAGAATTTACAAACTACTTAGTGTTATAAGGAAGCATATATTTATCATGGGTCATTTGGTGAATTCACACACACAGTAAGTGTCTAATTTCAAGCAATTCACGACAGTACGCAACCCTCATCCGATGCTTTCGGTGGAGAACTGTATCACACTTGACATGGTTGAACCCCACTGATCACTACTTCGTAACTAGAACTAGAGGTTGATGGCTTAGTGATTTACAGGTTAAGAGTTATCAGGTGAGATCGAAGGTCCGGATGTGGGTCACTGATATGGACACTGACAAGGAGGAAAAATGCCTATCCAATGCTCAAGATCTAACGTATTGCTACTGATATCATTGCTATGATTACTTTACTGTTGCTTATTATATCGTGACTATTAGCATTTTCATAATTTTTCATCCACCATAATTATAACAATTTGCACATCTGCCTTGTTTATGATTACAATAAGGTTTTTTTTTCGCTCTCTTCCTTCCTTATTTAATTGTGTAATAAATTTATATGAACAATGAAAGGCAATTCTAATTGTTTTTCATTGCTGAAATAAATAACCTGAGACATTTTAAACACTAAGTTACATTTGTGAAACATTCTATTGACCTAGTTATTTATACATATCGGTGAAGTGAATGTAAAAAGTCTAAGAGTGCTTACACAAGCCTGTATATCATTAGGTTTGAATACTATCCAAGTGTAGACATTTTGAGTATTTAATTCATATCAATGATTACGTATAGAAATCTATGTACTGCAATGTACAAGTGATATTTTCTAAATGATGGTAGCTGGAGATAATGTGTGCGGATGTTATCCAAAGTGAACGGGAATAGTTTAGAATAACGATTTGGTGAATATTATGGAGGTGCATGGACTAAATAACTACTGAAAAAGAAAAAGGACTAAACAGTTATTATTTAGTTAGAGTACAGGACTCCTTAGTAGTGCGTATCCATTATATTATCAGGGTTTGAACGGTAAACTTTCAGGTCATTGAATTAATATTTAATGGGTTTTTTCCCTAATAACTTTAATCAATTATGTGATATCGTAGAATCACCTTTCGATACCATTTTGTTGGGTAGCTAACTCAAACACTCAAAGAGGGGTCGTAGCTTCTGATGAGAACTCTAAGAATTGCTTCTTGAAATTAGTCATCAGTCAGCATATAATAATGAATGTTTGAATAACCACTCAACTTTTTGCAAGTTAGTTTTACTGAGAAAATGCACCATATATTGATAAAAATTGTTAAGATTTGAGGAGTTTAAAAATCAATCAAATGTAAACACTATACCACGATGAGAATAATGTATACAATTAAACATGTCAATAAAATAACAACAATGTAGTGTGGCTATCAATGAAATACAGGATGTGCATTTCATACCATTCGGAAATCCTCAGCTGGATGTGTCTGTATATCCTAAAGTTGAATTGCACATTCTGGATTCTATTGTTAGTCACATTTCATCTATTCTCCGTATCAACTTGTATTATATACGGGTAGATCGAGGCAAGTTGTACAGGATGTATGCATAGGTCAACCAAAAACTGATTTAATTTCAATTGAAAAAAATAACAACAAGAAAGAAGACAATCTTCAAACAATTACAAGTTAAATTCATAGAGAAAAAAAAACAAAACAATGATAACTACCTGAAACTTTATCAATATTCTCAGTTTTTATTTCCAAGTTTTGTGGATTCATTATTGAATTTGTTACAGTTGATGAGTTGCTTATATCATCAACTTTAGCAATTGAATCATAAGTAGAACTAGATATAGGAGGAGGAGGAGAAGAAGAAGAAGAAGAAACGTTTTGTTGTATAGAAATCTCTGATATTGATGACGATGATGATGATGATATGACACGCATTGAAGTGGTAGTTTTGAAATCGATTACATTTGAACTCTGTGTATTAGGTTGATCAGGTACAGTTGTTACAGGATGGATGTTCATTTGATTGATATTTAATGAATCAACTATTCTTGATGGTGTTGTTGTTGTTAGTGTAGTAGATGATGAAGTATAAGTAACAACTACAGGAAGTAGATTATTTGAAGTTGTAGTAGTAGTAGTAGACATGATGAATGAAGAGTTTCGACTAGTGAAGTAATTTACTATATATGTAAATGATACAAATAATATTACATTTATAATTCACACTTTAAACGTTAGACCATAGAATTCAGTAAAGGTATACATTTTGAATAAACTAGCCATCATTATGGACTACCTGAAAAGCTTGAGCATAATGGTTTATAAGCTAAGGAGTGAAGAACTGGAAAAATAAATTATCGTTCTTGGTGCCTGACTGAATTATCTCTAGGAAGGCCCATTATATCTGGTGCAAACTGGGGCGACAGCCAGAAACTGTGTCGTAACTAGTGCTTAAAGATCAACAAGAAATTTGCTCGTAGTCTGAGCATGAAGAAAATCGTCAATAGATAACTTTAATCTAATGATTTTTAGGCGCATGTTTCATTCATTTCCCAATATCACTAGGCTATGACCTGGTCTATCGAAATTAAACGACTTTCACACTTATATGTGTACTATGTAGCACATGAGTCTTGGCCAGTGTAATTTATTTATCCATATAACGGATGTTTAAGATGTTATGCATCTACGCCCTATACTGATGTACACATTATTTCTCTGGGCGTTTTGGAATTGTTACTAAATCTTCGGGTAGGTAAGTCCCCAGTAGAGCTGTACAGAAGTAGATTAGTAGCGAGTTCATTTAGTCCACAAAGTATAGTTGTATTGATGCCCCTAATTAAAACACCCATGTAAATTGGAAACACTTTATTTTGTTTTTAAGTTTCATCAGTTTAGTGTAAAATTTAACTGAAAGGTTATTGTGCTTAATATAAATTAGCCAGCTTAGTGCTGTGTAATTTGCTTCTCCGAGTGCAGTAGTCTCTGAACATTTTGTGATACTGGAGCTTTTCTAATTCCTGTTAAGCTAATCGGTCTTCCAGACTAGTTGGCAGGTCAAATCAACACTAACCAGTTGATAACAAAGAACGCAAACCAATCACTAGGGTTTAAGAGCAGTGAAAAATGTGAGTAGGTCAATTCGAAGAGCTTTTGAATAGACCAGCCCCACCGAACATCGAGCAGCACACAGACCTTCCTCGTAGATGTTACGGTTTAGCGGTGAAATGCTACGACGGGATCAACAATAGAAGAAACCAGTAAAGCCACCAGACAAAACAAGGGTGACAAAGTAGCAGGACCTGACAACATACCGGGTGAAGCACAGACGTTAGATATGAAGGTAATTGCAAAGATTTTCCACGTTCTCTTCAGAAAGATTTGGGAAGGATAACACGTACCAACAGGCTAGAAAGAAAGATACCTCATCCAGATACCAAAGAAAGGTCTTAGCAAGTATGAGAAGTACAGAGGCATAACACTAATATTATCACCAGGCAGGACCGGCTGAGAGATTGAGCAGAATCCAAACTTCAAGACTAACAGAGGATAGATCATGTGTCGACCAAATTGCGACAGTGTGGATAATTGTTGAACGGTCAATTGAATGGAACTAATCATTAAATATCAACTTTCTTGATTATGAGAAAGCACTCGACAATCTTGACGAGAAAACCTTGTGGAAACATAATTGGTAAACGAAGAGAATCTGATGCAGATGTAAAGGCATGAGTTCGAAAAGCAAAGGGAGTATTTCTACAACCAACGAATATCTGGAACTCAAAAGGACTGTCACTTAAGACTAACATCAGAATTTTCAACAAAAACATTAAACTAGTCCTAATCTACAGAGCTGAAAATTCGATAACAGTTAGAACTGTAATCAAAAAGGTACAGGTATTTATAAACTGATGTATACGAAAGATACTCTCAATCCGTCGGCCAGATTATTATAGTTATTATTCAAACACAATAACACTAGTAGAAAAGAGCACCTAAATGTTTATGCGCCGCACAAATGATTGAATTCGTGAGTGGGCAGGGATATTGCCCGGGTGGCCATACCGGAAGAGGTCTTCTTGAAAGGCCACTCCACGAGCCTTTGACCCAAAAGTCTAATCCGCAAGACAGTGGGAAAACGTCAGAAGGTGGAGTCCTACGATGGCTGGTGGATCGACAGTAGGTTCATACGCTGTTCGTTTCCTCAGGATCCTGGAGCCCATGTGCACTGTTGGTTTAGAATCACGGTTTTTCAACTCAACTAGGTGGATCCTCCATACCCACCAACCCAGTTAAAGCGCTGGACACTTGCTTTTCGTTCTCTAAATTTTGTAAACAGCACCTCCACAAAAAGGCAGTGAGTAGGGCCTCCGTGGTAGTGGCTATGCGCGCACGGCCATGTGAGAGCATTTTGAGAGAGAGAGAGTGGACTCTACCCACTTTCAACAGTATAAGGGCATTTAGAGGCCAGATACCATAAGCAATAACCTTATTCTGGTAGAGGATAAATAAGTTGCTAGTTGACGAGCAGATTAAGAAAAAACTCTGGAAGTTGGCGGGATACATCCTACAGAAACCATCAAATTGCATTAGAAGGCAGGCCCTGACTTGGGATTTTCACGGTGAAAAGAAAATAGGCAGACAAACGAATGTTTGGGGTCGAAAATTAAAGCGACATCAAAAGAATGAATAGAACTTAGTAACAACTCGAAAATGGTGTCCTATGCCTCAAAAGATGTTACAGGCTGAAGAAATTATACAATTGTCCATTATTTTGACTACAATTGCATAGCATTTTTCGATTTATTTTAGCTATTAGTAACTATGACATTATTTTGACACAGTTATATCACTCCACGTAACATTAGACTGCGTTAACAGCTAGTGAGAAACCGTGAAATGGAATGATGAATTCATTTTATTCTACAAAACTTGTTGTTGTTACCCTGTTTAAATTTATCAAGGGAACTGATTGTATGTAGTATACATACACATTGAATTATTCATTTCAAAGTCAAAGGATAAGAAAACAGCAGTTAAATATTAATCATTCAATTTACTTGGACATCGACTGCTGAAATTGCCAGGTGAGGAGTTTTTTCTTCCTGAATTTTGATTTCTTTTCCATCCTAATGGACCTATGGTGAATTATTTTTATTTTATTTTTCAAAAAGAAGATAAAAGTGGTAATCAATAATTGAAAGAATCAACATAGTCAATATAACATACAATATGATAACTCAGTGTTATTGATACAATTTAACTTGAGAAAATTTCCTCAGGGAATAAGAGAGAGAGAGAGTAAATCACTTACCAAGTAGTACAAGTTTATGCGCTCATATTTCAGTCATTTTGTTTGTGCGACTGATGACAGGGTAGGATAATTAGTGCATTAGGCGGTCTAATTCAATTGAGATACAAACATTAACTAAGGTATATCAAACTAATAATTATGGAAAATGAAAAGATTGAAATCAACAGGAAGATATAATTGCCAGGCCTAGTAGGTAAGTGACTGATGGAAATCTCAAAACAAATTCAGAAAGTTTGATTGGTTTTTGCCAACTTGTGTTACCTTTGACGTAGGTGAAATGTCAGCCTGCCAACTAAAGGGCGAGTATACTGCACAGAAGTTGACTGTTTGACAAAATGGACATATCGAGGCGACACTACCACAGGATCCAGATATGCCAACAAAAACCGATCTTACTCATGTTAATAATGATATAAATGTCATATCTGTTGAAAAAATTGATGGTTATTTGAACTCGATAATTCAGTGGATAAGGTATCAGTATATGAACTGAAAGGTCCCAACATGAACATCAATCAACACAGAAATGCAGGTTGGATTAAAGTGAAAAGTCGAAAATAGGATGAACCGTTCAACCTGAATTCCACTGTTAGCCACTAATTGCATGGTGAAATAAGTCAAGTAGAATTGTTAGATTGATTAGTGAAAACTATCGAGAAGCATTAAGCCTACGTTTCATGCCCATCAATATTGTTTGATATGATATATATTTATAATCAATTGACAAGAAGCCTTAAAAAGCATAAACTCAGTAATTCTTATCATTTATCAATATGATCTTGTGAAACACTAATGGTCACTTATTAAAACTTAATCACATATATGAGAACCACGGTGATAGGTTACAAGTCAAATTAATATTATTGTTGAATAATATAGCTTGCAATGTGATAACGTAATAGAGAGATTGAATCTTACGAAATCGAAAAAGAGAATCCAAAGCTTTTAACAATGACATTTAGAACTATTAATTAACTCAAGTATTCTATAACTGTTATTTCAAATCATTATTATATTCTTGTATCATCTTGATTTCTTCACACGGTCAATATAAATGAAGCATGTAGAAATTGAATAAAACATACACACTAATTTACCTTATATTAAGTAATGATTTGAACTTTTCAGTAACTTACCTGCATTCATAGATTTTCCTATTTGGTTTGTAACATATCCATAGCTTTGTTTACGTCTAGGATAACTACCACAACTATTAATACTGACATTATTATTGCTACTATTACTACTACTACTACTACTACTACTGGGTTCATGTGTAATATCACTAGCAACAGTAGTGGTAGTAGTAGTAGTGTGAGTAGTAGTTAGTGTGATAGGTAAATCATTTCCTCTGCTGCTACTACTACTGCGATCAACAATATTTGATTCGATTGTCGAAGGAGAATTATTACCATTATTATTATTATCCGTAGATTGGGCGTTAGTAATTTGCCCTGATGAAGAATTATCAGACAGACTGGTTCTTGATGAAGTCATATCATTTGATGATAATGGACTGTCATTATTGTTAGAATCACAAAGAGTGGTGGGTTGGTTGATAATAACTACTGTTGTTGTCAGTGTAGTCGTTGTTGTTGGTGTTGCTTCGAAACAACATGATTTCGCATCAATATAATTCGAATGTGACAAATGTGCATGAAATTGTTCCCATTCTAAAAGAAAGAATCAGAATAAATACTACTGCTAACAATAATACATGGAAAACATCAAATTAGTATGATGCACACACATTTAGACGTCCGAAAATAGTCGTGTTACTGGACCTAAAGGCGAGATTTGACTCCGTGGATCGTGAGGTTCTGTGGCAGTGTCTGTCATTGAAAGGTGTACCAGAGAAGTACATTAACCTTATACAAGCTCTCTACTCGAACACTACTGGTCGAGTGAGAGCCTATGGCGAACTGTCATTGGAATTCTCTACATCAAGTGGTGTCCGTCAGGGCTGTCCACTTTCTCCATTCTTGTTTAACTTTGTCTTAGACATCCTCATAGAGTTAACATTAAGCTCGTCAGATTTTTCAGGGGTTGACCTTCTATCAGGAAAATCGCTTACTGACCTGGAATATGCCGATGACATAGTTCTATTCGGTGAAGACGCTGAAGAAAATACAGTCTTCTGACTACCATAAGCAACAATGCAAGCATGTTCGGGATGCGGTTCTCACCCTCGAAATGCAAGATGTTGCATCGGTACCTGAACTATTGATAGGGAGTGAAGAAGTCGAGCGTGTTGATCGCTTCACTTAACTTGGGAGTCTCATCAGCGCTGATAGCTTGGTGAATGACGAAATCGCAACGCGGATACAGAAAGCTCGATTTGCTTTCGCCAATTTACGCCGTTTATGGCGTAGGCGAGATATCCGTTCGCTAACCAAAGGACAGGTGTACTGCGCAGCACTTCGCTCCGTTCTCCTATACGGATGTGAAACATGGCCGTTAAGAGTAGATGTTCGTAGGTTACTAGTATTCGATCATGGATGTCTTAGAAGCATTGCTCGTATATCGTGGGATAACCGGGTAAGCAATGCTATAGTTAGGAAACGAGTTCTATGTAGGGATGGCAAATCAATAGATGAAGTAGTGAAACTTCATCAGTTGAGGTGGTTGGGACAGGTGTTACGTATGCCTACCACCGACTGCCTCGTCGAGCCATGTTTTGTGGTGTTGGAGTAGGTTGGAATAAATCTAGGAGCGGCCAAGCCAAAACATGGCAGAAATCCATGAAGTCACTGACAAGTGGACTGAGTCATGTTGGTAGATGTAGGCTACCTGGTTGGGGTCCGCGAGACGAAAGTCACCGATGGTTAGAGACCTTGAATGACATGGCTCAAAATCGTTTGCAATCGCGCAGGTGCATCCACTCTTTGTGTTCTCTCTAATTCTAACCTTCTGAATTCCTCATCATCTCTATCTATCTAATTCTAAATTTATCTCACTGAATTATACTTATCGAATTATGTCTTGGCTCCCTAATCTTCTGAATTACAGCTAATACTTCTACTAACGCTATCACTCTTGGATTTGAATTGACAGTTTCGTTTCTGTGTTGATGTGGTATGGCAACTGAACTGATGTACTTACGTACAAATTTCTGCGTTGTATCTGTCTGTCCTTGAAAGTAATTTAGCGTATGTTTTTCATTTATTTCTTTAATGATTATGTCATTATCTTTTCTCTTCATATAATTTGTAATAATTTAAGTGATATATTTAACTTTTGATCTTTGATTTTATTTTATATAAGTAAAAATGAATGTTGTCGTTATGTACAGAATTAGTAAAAAAATTACTTACGACTGATCATGAACTCTTGTAAATGTCTACTTATTCCTGGTTTCCATTTACCATGGAATGAATTATGTTTTCTATTTTGTTGAAAAGTTGGAACAGTTTGATGAGATGTAGAGTAATATGAAGAGTAATGATGATTTAAGCTAGTTCCATTACCTGCTGTCCCAATAGCAGATGATGAATGATTACATTCAACAATATTATGTGAAGTATAATTTTCCTTGTGATTAGCATGATGATGATGATGATGATGATGGTGTTGATGATGATGATTACTATGATGATGAAAATGTGAGGAATGAACACCAGATGTAAAATGATTTGAACGATGAGAATGATGAGATGCTGACTCTTTACATGAACAGTTGTAATTACCATTAGTTCGAGAATTACGACAAGAATTAGACATGGTATTAATTGATTGACTAGCAACAATGACCGGTGTAGACGAATTAGTCAGGTTAACTGATGGGATTGTAACAACGACAACATTATTTAAACTACCAACTGTATTGCGTTGACCATTGTTATCACAGTTTGATTTATTAACAGTTGGGGAGGATTCCGGTAAACTACAAGTAGATTTGATCATCCTGTGCTAAAATTAGTACGGAAAAATAAATCAAATAAATAATTATCAATGCTTAAACAATATTTCAAAAAGGTTTAGCCAAACTGAAGTTAGATTCATGACGGTACCCATGACATAGATATGACCCAACGATTACAGTTTTCAGATATCCACTTTCAATGACCGTGTCTTGAAGCAATAAATCAAAACACAAAGTACTAATAACTAGTTAATCAGTCAGATAGTTTACTGGTGTTAAAGAGTGAATAAATTTGGGGACGCTAGTTGTGTTTTTTCGTACTTACACTGAGATTTTACCGGTTACACGTATTTGTTGATACAACTCTATTAGATAGCAAATACGTACATAACTGAAGTCAGTCTGTCAGTCGCAACATAGAACTTGGTATATACCTACATCAGTTCAAGTTGTCATATCATATTAGCACAAAGACAGAAATGTTAGACTAAAGCCCAGAGTAAAGGAGGTAGTGACAATATTGATAGTAATGGAAAAGACTGGGCATCGAAGATAAAATTCCAGAAAATATAAATCAGTGAAAAAAAGAAGATATCATGAATTCAAAAACTTTGGAGGACAAAGAATGCACGCATCAGCGACATCGCAAACTATTTTGTTCTGTCATTCAAAGCCTTTAACCAATGGTTACGACTATCACGCGGACCCTCGACAGTTACTCTGCGTCTGCTAACATGGTTCAGTTCACTGTAATTATAGCGCTGGAGTATATGTTGACGTAGATCGATTTCGGGTCAATATTTTTCAGTTATAATATCCATTTTGATTTTAAGCTAACAGATCAAGACCAACAGGGTCTATTCCGACATGTAAAAACCTCAATATTTGTACCTCAAAATATTACCTAGAAGAACTACCTCCTCAACATACGCTCCATGTACAATTCAGATTTAATAATGATTTCTTTAGGCAGTCAGTCAATTACAACGTACAACTTCGAATGTAAGGACATCAGTTCATGTTTCATACCACATTAGCACAGAGATGTAATTGTCAATTTAAATCCCATAGTGATAGAGATAGTAGAAGTATTAGCTGTAATGCAGCAGATTAATATTTGAAGATAATACCCAAGAAGTATAATTTAGAAAGAGAAAGATAGAGATGATGAGGAATTCAGAAGGTTAGAATTAGAGAGAACACAAAGAGTGGATGCACCTGCGCGATTGCAAACGATTTTGAGCCATGTCATTCAAGGTCTCTAACCATCGGTGACTTTCGTCTCGCGGACCCCAACCAGGTAGCCTACATCTACCAACATGACTCAGTCCACTTGTCAGTGACTTCATGGATTTCTGCCATGTTTTGGCTTGGCCGCTCCTAGCTTTATTCCAACCTACTCCAACACCACAAAACATGGCTCGACGAGGCAGTCGGTGGTAGGCATACGTAACACCTGTCCCAACCACCTCAACTGATGAAGTTTCACTACTTCATCTATTGATTTGCCATCCCTACATAGAACTCGTTTCCTAACTATAGCATTGCTTAATCGATTGTCCCTGGATATATAAGCGATGCTTCGGAGATACCTACGATTAAAAACCAGTAACCTACGAATGTCTTCAGTTAAGATACACATGGCCTTTCGTGCGGCTTGCAAACCAGTCTGGCAAGAATCCTTAAATTTGTAGCAGTTTAGGTATGTTTTGATAAACCTGAATTAATTAAGGACCAAATAAAACGAATGTTAGGCTTTTTAGTACAAATACCCGAAATATACACTTATACTGCAAAAGCATCATCTTTACTAATTTCTACTCCAAATATGTATAGAACATTTCAACTTTTGGAGGTTGGGTCTGACACACATTCGCGTAGTATTACAAGCCAAAACGATAATGAATCAGTTAAAACTCTTAAATAAAGACCGCACATATGTCTACATTAAGCCAGAGAGCTGTCAACAGCATAATCACGAGGAAGTGCGGGTGAAAATATTGGTAAAAAACATAAGTTGTGAACAACTTATTCCGAAAGCCACAAGGATATGCTTCTGGGGGAACGGCAGTTTTTATTTGATTACTTTTATCAGGAATATCTTAAAAGAGGTAAAGATTAAACTAAAAATACAATCAATCTTAGCATAAATATATCCCCAATAAAAAACCTGGAATCTCACACAAAGCCCAACAGACATTCTAAAACAAGGTATACGGAAGCATGCATAAAATATGGCTATAGCGTATTCTGGTTTAGTGTCTTTCACTTGCTAGATATATAACGCGCGGATTATAAGATCTTACGGGATAGAAGAATGGCCAGGATAGGTTCAAATCGACCGGCGTTGTGCGTTCGCGACCTTGATACTCTGTGCAGGATGAAGATATTCCGTATTTAAATTACTAAAGGTAAGTTGTGAGTATGTGACACTGTCTGTATGTAGTTGAGGCATAATTAAGTAAACTTTTCGCTCCTGAAGACTCTAGTAGTTCAATATTCAATATCTTTCTCACGAGCTAGTATAAACAAACTGATTACTTTTTGCTCGATTCTTGTTCTTTCGGTACGGTTACAAGTGTTCAGGATCATTTCAAGCATGTCTAATTTCTCTCTTGGTGTATACATTTGGTCTGTTTTTGAGCAGTTGTTCATTGAAAAGCCATTCCATTGATGATCGTATAATGTTTCAAAAAATAAAGGCTATTATTAAGTAGATTTATACGCATGCTTAGGAAATTTATTTGAGTTGACAGAAGACTGTTCACCTTTGTTGGTCAAGATTTCAGTCCCCAGAGTTTTCTGGTCGATAAATGTGAACAGTTTAGACGGCCGTTACTAAACAAACATTTCTGGTCTTGGGATGACTTTTAAAATTTAATTATTGAACACCATTCATCACAAAAAATGTCTTGCGAGAATTTAAAAAGTAACACATGTGCAAAGTGAATAGGAAACGGACAATCATTTTTGCATGGATGACCGATGAATGCCGTACAGGTTTCACGTCAACGCGTGAGGGCGTAAATGTAGGGTTCTTACCGTATGCTGAGATCCTTGCAGACATGTGCTTCGTGCATATTGATGTCAAAAAACTTACAGGTGTATCTACGCAATTGCAAAATATTAATTCAATCGGTTGTCGAATTTTAGGCAGTGAATAAGACGTAAGTTACATGTTTCTGTTAGGATATTCATCAGACATCCTAAGAGAACTATTTTTGGAACCCTTATGTATTGGTCAGTTCCTAGTGGTCAATATTATGGTCGTTCTAAATGTCGATATCATATACGTCAATGTTGTTTCCTATTCAACCTAACTGTATAAATATGCATTATCTATAAAGCTTATTATTCCATTCATTCCTTTCTTCATCTCTTCTCTACTGGACCTCATACACAACTTCATCCAACGGTGTTGTATTCTGATATATTGAAGATTTGGTAACAGTATTTGAGGTCGTATTGGAATATCTGAATTTGGTCAATCGGTGGGATAGCTACGTAGCAGCATTATAACAGTTCCCTTCTGTGCTGCTGGTAGTGTGTCTAACTCTGCGGTTTGACCAAGCAGATGTTACTTGTATTTCACACTAAAAGCTTCAAGTTTTCGAAAGGTTTGGAGGCGAGTTTCCTCAGGCTGCTGAATAGAATGCAACAGATTATTGTGAAAGAATACTCAGCTCAGAAGTAGGAAAGCTGATTCTCTGATAAATGTGTACGTTCAGGTTTCTTTAAGATATTTATCTACACTAATAAAACAAAAACGTTATTTAACTCATAACTACGTCTAAATAGTCCAGTTTGAGACCTCGTACACACTAACAGCTCCGTAATGCGATATTACAGTGACAGAGACAGTGCTTGTTATCCTTTCTCGAGCAAAGGCCGTCGACTGGAATTATTCAACCTACTGTTTTCTGAGCTTTCCCTTCCAATCCTATGCAGCTGCTATTCATTATTTTCATGCCCGCTTCCTATTCTCGGGTTAGTGTTCTTCGGTATTCCTCTTTTCTTCGTCATTCAGGATCTCAAGTGAGCGTTGGTCATGTGAAACAGTTGGGTGATTTCCTCAGTGTGTTTCCTATCCATCTCCAGCGCTTTTGCCTATTTGTTCTTCAAATTAAATATGGTTTACTCTCTCCCACAGTAGTTTCTTCCCGATGGTATCGCGCCAACTGATCCAAGGTATTTTGCTTAGAAAACTGTTCATAAATACTTGTATATTCTGTATTATGGCATCCGTAATTCTCCAAGTTTCTGCCACACACAGTAGAACTGTATTGATATTTGTAATCATGACTTTGGTGTTTGTGGATAGTTGTTTTGAGTTCCGGATGTTTTTCAATTGTTGAAATGCCACCGTTGCTTTGCCGATCCGCGCCTTCACATCTACATCTACATTGCTCGTCAGTGATGCTGCCCAGATATGTAAAGTCTTTACAATCTCCAGGGCATCCTACCGAGTTGTGATTTGATTGGTGTGTGTTGTGTTGTTTAGGAGGATCTTACTTTTCCCATCATGTATGCTGAGAGCAACTGCTGCTGAGGCTGCTGCTACACTGGCCGTCTTCTCTTGCATTTTTTGTTGCTTGCGCGATAGACGATCCAGGTAATCTGCGAAGTCTAGACAGCTTAGTTGCATCCTGACTTTCCGTCCAGATGTTGACGTCTTCATAATGTAGTCGATCACCAGGAGAAGGAGATAGAATGAGAGTGAGTAACCTTGCCTAACAGCGGTCTTCACCTCGAACAAGTCCGCCACATGTCTTCAGTGCACAAATCCATCATAAGACCTATGTATGACGCCCTTAATCGTCTGAACATTCTTGTTCAGTTGACTCAACAATAATAAATCTGTTATATTCTTCACCAACTAGAATAAATCGAATGATTTATTTTCGCTCTCTGCTTGTTGTTTCGGCATGGTTTGAGGTGTTTGGTAATGTCCAGTGGATGATAGTCTAACCATTTGATTGCACTAATTCTAGTCAGTTGGCAGTTACTCATGAATTTGTATGTCCCGTGATGTAAGTGAGTGAGTGAGGTTTCTGGATATCAACAACTACCACATTACTAGGCTACATATCATTTAGTTACAATGTATTGAAAATTCTAATACCAATGAGATTTCAGAACTAGATAAATAAATGGATAAGCCAGTGAACTGGTAGTGCAGATCGTGTGGGAGGAGGAAATGTAAAGAGAAAAGCGGTGACAGAAATGATAATAAGCGAGATAGAATAAGTTAGTTATCTGAGGAAATGACACCAATAACAACTAGCACGTTTTAAGACATGCATCAGACACAGTTGGTCCAAGAAGGAGATGATAATCCATACATAAGTACATGTTCATCGAGTCTCCTTTTGAAGATTTAGTGGTGACCGAGTAGAGATTGACTATGATCACCACTAAATACAAGTTACTATCTCGTCACAATGAGTACAAGTAAATCCAGGGTGAAGAATGCATTTGAAGTAGAAGGTGTACGACATAGGGAGCAGCAAGTTATGAATGATGACAGCAACGCGAAAACAGAAAGTCGCGCGTAAGTGTTTATAGTGCAGTTAAACAAAAGGTGTCCAGTAACAAAAGTTTTCTTTTCATTAATTGGGTTTTATTCGTGGAAGTGTTCCACAACAAAGCTATCAACTGGAGAGGCCGCGATCAATCCAGCGGCGTTGAATCCTACTGTGAAAATTGGAAGTTAGCTGGATGTTGTTAAGTTTTTCGAGGGACATTTAGGATTCAACTTCTATGGAGAATATCAGTTGTTTGTGTGACGTCGGGCAGAAAGTTTATAAAATGTCGACTTCCGTTATGTAGCAATAAATAAGTCTCCAAAATAAATTGTTAAGTATGTCTTTAATATTGATGTTACCCTCATTAGTTTTACTGGATATACCTTAACTGAAGACACTTAGTCACACACCAACACGAGATTACCGTTAGGTACGTTATGCGCATCATCTCTTCTCATCAACTAGCGGACTTAGCTCACTTATCTTCTTCTCAACCATCATATAAATATACCTTTGATCGTTCTGATTTCTAACTTCTAGTTTGACCTAGGACGAAAGTCCTGCCAAACTCTGAATATCCTTGACATTTTAACTTTTAACCACTTGTCCATCCCCGATTCCTCTGCTGTTGTAAAGTCATTTTGAAGTCCAAATGGATCATCTTTGCATCCTTTGGGCCCCCTGGTGTTTGAGTTGTTTGTATAGACTGGTGCTACTGAGCTAATATTGTCTAACAGGCCATTAGTGCAGATCAACAGGGTGAAACTAACCAGTTGTTACATATTGTTTATCACGAAATACCAACTGGTCATTTAATGCAGATTCTTGATCGAGTCTTTTAGATAGGGTATGTTTAGCAAAACTGTCAATACTTTTCCTCCGTTCAGTAACAAAGCATGATTTATTTGAATATCTAAATTTCGCATAGTGGTTAATTGGTGAATTATATCACAGGATCTGATAAAATTTCAGGCTTGTGTCAGAAATCGAATAATGAACTTCAGTGTCAGCAACAGCATTCTCAAAAGCTATTTCAGTCTCATACAGATGGATGTAACTTATCTGTATATGATTCATGGAACGTGTACCAAGAAGCTACTTGGCTTATCTGATCATTTTAGAGTATGAGATTTGGAGGCCTGAAGACCTGTCGGAAGGTCAAATTAAACTGCTGCACTGCATTCAAAACTGTACGCTACTTGCTTGCAGTTGCAGTTATCAGCTGGTCTTGACCTCGTGATTGTTTATTTCTGTCTTTGATTGCTTTCCCTATTAAATGTAAATGCATTCTGTGTGGCTACTGATTCATTGGCTCATCCTCTCTCCTGTTGTTTCCTTTTCCATGTAACCTTACATGGTGCTCCTCACACTCCTCCAGCTCATTAAGTACCTTCCGGCTAAACGCAAACTTACTAAAAGCTAAAGTTGCATAGCACTACATGATTCGAATGTATTGTAGGACCTGATTTTCCAAGGGATTCGAAATTATTATCCCATACATTCTCACCAGTGTTGTATTGACATTTCTCAAATAGCTTCATACACAAGTCATCCTTGATCGTACTTCCACATTTCTGCTGGTTTCTTTCGTATTTGTCGTTTGCACGCAATACAGTTCCAATAATCAAAGTGATCTTTTAACTTGTGACCCTTACTAAGTGATCTAAAAGTCGATCACATACTTGTGTAAAATAACCTCATTCTTTTTACCCGCAGTAATTTATGGATATTTTATCGTTTCAGTGTTGCTGGTCATTCAATTTTGATTGCCTTTTTACTCACCTAATTTTAGAGCCACCTACTTTAAAATAACTGGCATTATGATGGATGATTTTCTGGCATTTGATGATGGCTTATTCGAGTCTGATGAGCGCAAAGAACGTTCATTACCTACTTTTCATCCAAACAAAGTGGGGGATCTAGTTGGTCTTATGAATTTAGTTAAAGCCAACTTATCTGTTTTCAGGAGTTTTTATCAGGTGATGGGGAAGAATGCTTGAAGTCTTCAAGTGACTGGTTTTATTTATCGAAAAAGTACGGCGATTGTCTGCAGTATTTACTACGACTCTGGGGTTTGTCCAATTCGGTTTATTTTACTTTAAAATGGTTAGACCGTGTTGACAGGTACAATGGGCTTCCTAAAAGAATTACTGCTGACGCCATTGTAAGATGCTATTTGAAACTGAACAAACAATCCGAACTACTCCCTTATCTTCATCAACATGTAATTCTCAACAGCACTCAATATTATTAAAAAGGGTCAATTGTCAACAAGCTACGAAGATTATCTCGGACACTTGATGCTTCATTTTGCTTGCTCAGTAAATGAAACAACTCAAGGTAACCTATTTTTTAAAATAGCTTTAATTTTGGTATGTTAATTTACAAATTTCTGGTTTATGAGGGGCTATATTACTATTTAGGGTTTGGATCACAGTCGTTATACTTCAATTTCATTCAATACTTTCGTTTTCAAACGTATTTGGGATAAGTTAATTATCTATCCTCAGCACCTTATATTATGCTACAGGAATCTTTCTCAAGGGTAGTGTAGTAATCAGTGTTTTCAAATAGTCTTATCGGCGATGTTAAACTAGACATTGACTGAAATAATTTCAGAAGTAGCATTCCGCCGCTAATAAGATAAAAGAACTTTTCAAATATTCCCTTATTGTCTCTCAAAATGTTCGACGGATTGTGTTTCACTGGTTCCCGATCACAGCTGTTTCCTTGTCGTTTTTTTCGGGCTTGCCTTGACCCGACCGAGCTATATTGGCTGGAACATATGTTCCTGAAGGTTCTACCATGCCAGGCAGGTCAATTGGAGAACGACGAGACTAAAAGCAGCTACTCAAGGTCTGAGGGCGAAGTCCTACTGCTGACTGTAGAGGGGTGTGACAGCAGTAAGGTGTTTCCCTCGGACAACCAGCACGTGCAGCGATGCTGCCTTCTCACAAGGAAGGAAGGGTTAGAAAAGGTCGACCCTAAAAATGTCACACCTCACCCTAGGGTTAGGGTTAGGGTTTGAAGATGAGACTACTCAGATAAGGGCAGCGATCAACACGCTCTACATCTTCACTCTCTATCACTAGTTCTGGTACCGATGCAACCCAGTCTTGAAGCAACATTTTGCATTTCGAGGGTGAGAACCGCATCCCGAACATGCTTGCATTGTTGCTTATGGTAGTCAGAAGACTGTATTTTCTTCAGCGTCTTCACCGAATAGAACTATGTCATCGGCATATTCCAGGTCAGTAAGCGATTTTCCTGATAGAAGGTCAACCCCTGAAAAATCTGACGAGCTTAATGTTAACTCTATGAGGATGTCTAAGACAAAGTTAAACAAGAATGGAGAAAGTGGACAGCCCTGACGGACACCACTTGATGTAGAGAATTCCAATGACAGTTCGCCATAGGCTCTCACTCGACCAGTAGTGTTCGAGTAGAGAGCTTGTATAAGGTTAATGTACTTCTCTGGTACACCTTTCAATGACAGACACTGCCACAGAACCTCACGATCCACGGAGTCAAATGTCGCCTTTAGGTCCAGTAACACGACTATTTTCGGACGTCTAAATGTGTGTCTGTGTTCCAAGACCCTGTCGTAGTGTAAAGATGTGGTCTATACAACCACGTCCAGGTCGGAAACCAGACTGGTTTTCTCTAGTCTGGTCTTCACGAGTTCTAGTTAGGCGTCTAAGTATAATGGAGGCTAACAATTTAGAAACTATACTAGTTAGACTTATTCCCCTGTGATTGTCACAAGAGGACTTTTGTACTTTCTTGTAGATTGGGACAATTAGCGACTGAGACCAGTTGGATGGGATTGTGTCCAGTTCCCAGATTCTACCTAAGATCTCTGTCAGTCTAACTGTTAAAACTGGACCACCATCTTTAAACATCTCAGGAGTAAGCCTATCCGGACTTGCTGCTGGTCTCATTAGTGCTGACAGTTTGGTGACTGACGAAATCTCAGTGAGGATACAGAAGGCTCGATATCCGTTTGGTAACCAAATGACGAGTCCACTGCAGTAGTTCGTTCCGTCCTACTTTATGGCTGCGAAACATCGCCTGTCACAGTAGAAGACATTCGTAGGTTGCTTGTTTTCGAACATAGGTGTCTCCGAAGCATTATCGAAACTGTCTTTGTAGTCTAGGTCGATAAAAGCATCTCCAGGTAGACCGATTTCCAATAATTTAGTCATAGGTTATGTGATATTTGAGTTTGTGAATACCTAAAGTGTTTTTTTGTAAGCCATTTCACAGTATAGCTTGCTACAATCTCTGATAATATCACCGTTATTTAGTAAGTAGTCTTCAATGATGCGCTGAATCCATTAAGTTTTAACTTTAAACGCTATTTTATTTAGTATTTATTTGTTTGAACACAAATACTGGTACAAATAGGTATCAAAATAATAAATATTGGGTTGCTCAAATAAGAAAATGAAATCGGGAAGAGATGAAGGGATTATGAGGAAGGCTGAGTTTAATCAAAATAAATAAATAGATGAAAATAAGTAAATGTGGAGCATCGCCTATGGTAGTTGGAAACCCCTAACTTCAAACTGATAACAGAAATGGGCTCCAGTATTAGAAGGATCGATTAGTGTATGAGCCTATCCTCGGTCACTGATTACCATAGAACTGCGCATCTGACATTGCTTTATTGATTTTTAGATTAGGTCAAAGACTGAAACAGTAGTAGTATTCCAGCTCTCTTACAAATATAACAATTCACTTGCTTCATTTGATTAGCACAATAAAATCATATATGCGTATTTTCCTTCTAAATCTGTACTCCAATGATTTCTAAACAATCATCAGGTGTCAGTATTTAGCTTCAGTTATGTTTACTGTTTGTTTAGCATTTTATTCACTTTTGTCCCATGCACAGATCGAATTGATTTACTCCAGCGTCTTCTACTGGCACTTCCACCATTATTTTTTGATAATGACTCATCAGTGGTTGTTCGTAAAAATTTATTCACACAATCTCAGTTATGGATCGATTTGTCAGTCTTATGGAATCAAATTAAGATCGAGCCTAGAAAAATATTTCATTATCCTGTATGGTTCTCTAAGGTAGCATCATTGTATGCTGAGCTTGTCAATACTTATTCAGTAAGTGTTTGAGTGATTTTAAAAAAAGCTTATGTGGGAGTGGTTTTCTTTTCTTTAAGACACTTCTAGTTGCTTTCTTTTCACTGAGATATCAAAGTAAACCATAATACTACTAAATTTCTTTTGTTTCGTCTTCATGTCTAATTTTAATTTATCCACTGATTAAGCAATTAACGTTGAGTATGCCTTTTTTCACTCTCCGGAATATCTAAAGAACATTTCCATCGACTTTATAACCAAATACATAACTGTCAGGATATTCATAAAAATATCCCAAAAATTATTCTGTCTTCATTTAGAAGAGTTATTACGTCTCATGATAAAGGCCGAGCTCCTACGGAAGTCAGAAGGTCGTTGACGCTTTCGACAACCAGAACCTTTCCACGGTGTGGGCATCCGAGAAGTAACATTCGCCCTCATACCCTTAACAGCACACGAGACCAAATCGATCACAATCACATCCTTTCTACACCTCATAATAACTCTCTTATCTCCTCGTCCAACTCTTCCTTCGATCGTTTGTCATCTCACACCACTGAAGCAAACGGTTTGAGTTCACGAAACATTATTCCTGGTCTCCTGAAACCCCGTTCTAAACTGCATGTTGGAGCTTTTAATGTTCAAACCTTGTGGCGAATAGGACAACAGGCTTCATTAACTAGAACTCTGGAATCCTGTGCCACACCATGGAAAGGTTCTGGTTGTCAAAAAGGTCATCGGCCTTGGACTTCTGTACGAGCTTGGCTGTCTTCGTGAGCCATCATAATTGTTCTTAGTGAAGACCTAACTTTTAGAGGGGAGTTTTTCATTTTTTTCAAACGTTGTTTCCTAATGGTCGATAACCCCAGACATAACCTATGTTTGGGCTCTGGGCCGCTATTTCCCGCAGTGGGACTCGAGACAAAGTTGAAAAACTAGAAATGCAAAACTGAATAGTTACGTTTTTTTATTTAATAGGGGACTAGGTAAGAGTGACAAATTAATTTTCATAGTAATGAATCCTCTTCAGTGGTGAGTACATATGTTACGTTTAACCATCCGCTACCTATCTCGAAGAACCTTGTTTTCTAGTGTAAATTAAGCTTTAGGAAAACTAGAGACAGTTAAGCCAAAATATTGCATCAGTCCGTGAAGTCATTAACAACGAGACTGAACCATGTTAGCAGACGCAGAGTAATTGTCAAGGGTCCGCGTGATAGTCGTAACCATTGGTTAAAGGCTTTGAATGACACAGAACAAAATGGTTTGCGATGTCGCTGATGCGTGCATTCTTTGTCCTCCAAAGTTTTTGAATTCATGATATCTTCTTTTTTTCACTGATTTATATTTTCTGGAATTTTATCTTCGATGCTCATTCTTTTCCATTACTATCAATACTGTCACTACCTCCTTTACTCTGGGCTTTAGTCTAACATTTCTGTCTTTGTGCTAATATGATATGACAACTTGAACTGATGTAGGTATATACCAAGTTCTATGTTGCAACTGACTGACTCAGTAACAGAGTATTATCATTTCTTTTTGTGCTTATATTATCGCATGAAAAGTTTGTGCACACTGTAAGCACTTAAGATAAATGGCGTGTAGTCAGTAGTGATATGTAAGACGTAGTTTTCTTCCGATCTGGGTTTTGTCACGTGAATGTACCTTCTCCATCTCAGTAGTGACGTTCACTTCGCGACTCGGATCGAGTATCTTTCACGTCTAATGATCACCACGTTATTCACTGAGCTGCTGAGACCAAATAGCTGCCAACCTAATCTATAGATATGATGTTTGAGTTATCTCGTAGTTGATTTTCAAGATTGATGGTTGATCAGTCCTTATTCATGTATGTTTATTCTGTGCCTCGATGTAGTTACTGTTAGTTATTTTATAACTAATTGTAGTTATGCCATAACTAACCAATCAGATTGTGGTTTAAGCGCCCTGACCTGATGTGTCTGTAAACCTTCTTCGTCCTAAATGACCTACAAATTGATTGACATTATTGTCGTATTATATTGATGTGACTCATAACTGTACTCATTTCCATAAGACACGTTATGTTGGTCGGTACGTATGCTCGTCTTACATGATGATTGTAATTTCCTTATTTATTGTACTAATGTAATTGTTTTTATGTTTAGAAACAGATAAAGTTTAAAGCGAAGTTGATCTTGTTTTAACTAGAGCTTTCCCATACATAGACTCTGTGCTCGCCAATATTGCGTTTATAGTTCTAGAAGTTCATCTGTAGGACAAATTAAATCCTACAGTTACCATGTCATAGGTTATTTAGAATAAATGGGTGTTGGCTGGTAATGAAATCCAGCTGTAGTGTAATTTTTTCAAATTACATTGTTAGTGACGCTCACACTGTGCTTCAATGTGCTCTAAATCAATATATTTTTATAAACATACACATGGCAGAACTATGAATTAGGTTATTAGTGTCTTCAAAGGATTACTTATATATAGCGGAAGCAATCTTTAAAAAAATCCACCTCCTATTACTTAAGAATCCGAAACAACTGTAAACATTGCATTCAACAATTCTATACATCATACATCAGTTCGATAATTAATTTTGATTCTGAATTAAGGCAATAAATAATTTGGTAAATGTGTATGTGATATGTACTGTTCCCTTTTGAAATGTTCCTCACGAATTTTCACTGTAACAACCAATTATTTCTTTCATTAACTGCATTAAGTATAAATTATCATTTATCAATATAAAAGTTGCTTATTTATATCATTTTACCAGAAGGCAACTGAAACTTCACTGAAATGGACTGATGAATTGCTTACTCCAGCACAAATTGATTTATGTCGTGTAAGTTAAAGATCTTTTGATGTAAAGTAAGCAATTATTGTGAAGTAGTTAATCCTGGTTTTATTTAGAGTCATGTATCATGTAAAATGAATTAAAAAGTCTTGCTGAAACATGGATTATTGTCTATCCAGATCAAAGTAGGTCTGGTAGGATTTGAATATGACTAAGATATTCTTAGCTGGAGTGAACTGTTTATCATTTCTCAGTGTCAGTATTGAAGACATACACAAAGTACAAATTATTTAGGAAAACTACAATAAAATAGCAATGATATCCAATATCCACATCCAATAGATTGAATCAGATGATGAATGCCTATAAACTAATCATAACCACAGAGCTATCCATCACTGTAAGTAGTTTTGAACTAACCCCTTTTGAACCCATCACATTTCATTTGTTCACACTGTACAAGTTGCTTCATGTTAAAGTGGCTTGTATCAAAGACAACTTAGGTCCTTTTCACATTGCAATGAGAACGTCCAACCACATACATAAAGACATCAGTTATCGTTTGATGAAAGTGAAGTAATCATATGGTTCTACATTCATCAGCATAATGCCCGTAGATGTACTATGTCTCAACTTTTCATATCACGTTAGCAAGACGAAATGAATAAGATGAACAAAGTACTTAACTGTGTATTATTTTCATAACATAATCTGTCTGTTCTATTTTTTTTTATCGTAGAAACTATCATTACGTATTTTAACTACGTTTGGTAGTAGTAGTAGTAGCAGCAGCAGCAATAGTTCTTCAACAGACCAATCTTCTATGACTACAATGTTTAACAAAGGTGACAGTATATGTAGTCACTATGATAATGTACAAGTGAACCAGGTTACTGTTACTTATGCGTTGCCGTATATTCCTAGTGGGAAATGTTGTTCTTCTGATACTACTGCAGACAATGAAAATCACGATGAAATTGGACGCGTGTTCTTCCAAGTGTTTATTGCTCCTTTCATGAGTATTTATGAAAAAAATACCTAGAAAATACCAGTTTATTTTGTTGTTGTTTTTTTAATACATTTTTAATTATAAAAAAGCTTCCATTCTTTTCAAAACATCTGTTCTGTCAGCTGAATAATCACGTAGATCTAGACTTCGATTAATAATCGTTAGGAGTTTGTATTTGTCTAAAATGGTTTGTTTGTATTTCGAGTGACTACTATGTACTCTTCAGAAATAATCAAATCTCATTTAGTGTGTGTTATGTTGTTTCGGGCTTTGTTAGATGTTATTGGAGTAAGTTGAAAGAAATACTAGTGGCGACGAAACTAAAACATAGCATCAATCTGTAAAGTTATTAACTGTTAATTATGTTTGGTAGATGTACACTAATGGTAATCAGTGATTAAAGACGTTGGATAGCATGGTTCACTCTTAGTCTTACTCTAGATCTTGAATTTCAGTATCTCTTTATGTATACTTTCCATATTTAGTCTTTCTGATGATTGTTGTTACTTTATTATTTCACTTTTTCTCATGTTCATCTTTTTGAATTCATCCCACTGTACTAGTGTGGTATGGTAACGAACATTTTTTGGTCCGATTCCACATTAATTTTGGTGGTGATGATAGTGTTGATGATGATGGTGTTGTTGTTTGACAATAAAATGGAATCAATTATTGATTACAAATTACATTGCTTGTAGTATTATTAAATCACTAAATTCTGTTATCTCTCATAAAATAACCTGTATACTTATACTTTATTTTTTATACAATTCAAACCATTTGCCAAAAACGCTATAAGTTGATGTCACTAGTTTGCTTTCTTCACATCCAAACACCACTCGAAATGTGCTGCTGGCAAACATTCAATTATTCGACTTACGTATCAAATAATAATAAAGATAGAAAGTCATTCGATGACGTAGTGAGTCTTCATCAACTAAAAGTTATTGGGATTTGTGTTATTTTTTTTCTAACCACTTCCTACCTCGACGATCGGTGCTAGCTAGTACAGAAGTAGGCTGAAAGGAATCTGCGGGCAGTCAAACCAAAATGTGACATTAGTATATAAAGTCATTGAAAGTTGGTTTAAATCATGTTGATATCTATAATTTACCTGGTTGTGCTCCCCTTTATTTTCATAACCAGTGGTTAGAGATTTTAGGTGACATGGCTCATAAATGTCCACAGCCTTCGAGTGCACTCATTACTTCTCCATAGTTCCTCAGTCCCAGAATCCTGGACTTTTTTCTTTCTACACACAATCTTTTCTAGCATTACTATATTGTCGAATTTTTCTAGATACTACTATCTTTCTGCGCTAATATCCTGTGGCAATATGACCGTAGCATATGTGTATCATGTTCAACCGATTTTTATTTTTATTGATACTAATATGCGAACCTCATTGATCGCATTCAAACATGTCATTGGTATAATCAAAAGTAGTGTAATTTAGTACATAAAAGTAGGACGATTTGGAAGAATATACAAAACGTCTTGGAGTGACACGTTTCAACGGAGTACTAAGTATGATTTTAATTAGGATTTCATACAGTGATGTAATAAATGCGGCTACATTTATGTTTTATTGAGTGTTATGGTTCTTATGAAATGGTGATTTTCTCTCGTAATGATAAGATAAACTTTTGAAGCAATCTATTTAATCGAGTTAATAGTGAATGTTGAGCGAACTCACTCATATCGCACATTACGCGATCAGGTCTCGGAATCCACACATCGTAACATCTTGTGTTCATTGACAAATGTATTACCTTGATTAATTTAATATTTTCATATAGTTATTCATGCATTTTAGAGTATAATGTGATGGCGATAGTTACGTTTTGTACGTGAGCTAATACACATACGACTTTTGAGTAAAATATAAATCCTCAGACTATACAAATATATATATATATATATATATTCCAGGCATTCTTCTATATACATACAAAACCAGACCTCATATCAATAAATGGAAATTAACAACTATACATAAGTGAGCCAAAAGTGGCTGTGAGTAGGGGAAATTGTAAATAATAAACTGTCGACAAAGTAGGAACAGTAAAACTAGTGATAGTAATTTATTGGTTAATCAAAAGCTTATAAAAAAAGGATTATGATAGTCTAGTTAGACTATATACATCAGTAGTCCATTAAACTGGTTGTTTAAGTTCCTATTTACTCCAACCGATTATAACACTGATCTAATGGAAAATAATAGTTTTCACTTTTATATGTATTGTTCTAATTTTAAAAAAGAAATCTTACTTTGAGTAAGCTAGTGCGTAACGACATACTGTATAAATTTTGTTATTATGATATTTTTTACATCACATTCATTTGAGTTTGGACCTCTGAAACACGTTTGCCTATGGTTATGAAGAACACTTAGAGAGTTTCTATAATTACAGAAGATTACGCGTTTATTGAATGGAACCACAACAAATGCTTTAAGTTTCCAAAGGCCAATCGGGCCTTCTGTATCCGTACTGAGATTTTTTCAGTCGCCAGACCATCATCTTTTATCTCATCTGAACTGCAGCCAGAGGGAGCGTAGGCAGTAGCACGGCTTCCAGATAGACGAAGCGTAAACCGAGTTGATTCTCTATCTGCACAAGGTGAAATCGAATTGATTTTATTCGGGTCTTGTATGCGCGTTTCCGAGACGCAACTTACATCGATGGCACAGGATTCCAGAGTTCTAGTTAATGAAGCCTGTTGTCCTATTCGGCACAAGGTTTGAACATTAACAGCTCCAACATGCAGTTTAGAACGGGGTTTCAGGAGACCAGGAATAATGTTTCGTGAACTCAAACCGTTTGCTTCAGTGGTGCGAGATGACAAACGATCGAAGGAAGAGTTGGACGAGGAGATAAGAGAGTTATTATGAGGTGTAGAAAGGATGTGATTGTGATCGATTTGGTCTCGTGTGCTGTTAAGGGTATGAGAGCGAATGTTACTTCTCGGCTGCCCACACCGTGGAAAAGTTCTGGTTGTCGAAAGCGTCAACGAACTTCTGACTTCCGTAGGAGCTCAGCCTTTATCATGAGACGTAATAACTCTTCTAAATGAAGACAGAATAATTTTTGGGATATTTTTATGAATATCCTGACAGTTATGTATTTGGTTATAAAGTCGATGGAAATGTTCTTTAGATATTCCGGAGAGTGAAAAAAGGCATACTCAACGTTAATTGCTAAATCAGTGGATAAATTAAAATTAGACATGAAGACGAAACAAAAGAAATTTAGTAGTATTATGGTTTACTTTGATATCTCAGTGAAAAGAAAGCAACTAGAAGTGTCTTAAAGAAAAGAAAACCACTCCCACATAAGCTTTTTTTAAATCACTCAAACACTTACTGAATAAGTATTGACAAGCTCAGCATACAATAATGCTACCTTAGAGAACCATACAGGATAATGAAATAATTTTCTAGGCTCGATCTTAATTTGATTCCATAAGACTGACAAATCGATCCATAACTGAGATTGTGTGAATAAATTTTTACGAACAACCACTGATGAGTCATTATCAAAAAATGATGGTGGAAGTGCCAGTAGAAGACGCTGGAGTAAATCAATTCGATCTGTGCATGGGACAAAAGTGAATAAAAAGCTAAACAAACAGTAAACATAATTGAAGCTAAATACTGACACCTGATGATTGTTTAGAAATAATTGGAGTACAGATTTAGAAGGAAAATACGCATATATGATTTTATTGTGCTAATCAAATGAAGCAAGTGAATTGTTATATTTGTAAGAGAGCTGGGATACTACTACTGTTTCAGTCTTTGACCTAATCTAAAAATCAATAAAGCAATGTCAGATGCGCAGTTCTATGGTAATCAGTGACCGAGGATAGGCTCATACACTAATCGATCCTTCTAATACTGGAGCCCATTTCTGTTATCAGTTTGAAGTTAGGGGTTTCCAACTACCATAGGCGATTCTCCACATTTACTTATTTTCATCTATTTATTTATTTTGATTAAACTCAGCCTTCCTCATAATCCCTTCATCTCTTCCCGATTTCATTTTCTTATTTGAGCAACCCAATATTTATTATTTTGATACCTATTTGTACCAGTATTTGTGTTCAAACAAATAAATACTAAATAAAATAGCGTTTAAAGTTAAAACTTAATGGATTCAGCGCATCATTGAAGACTACTTACTAAATAACGGTGATATTATCAGAGATTGTAGCAAGCTATACTGTGAAATGGCTTACAAAAAAACACTTTAAGTATTCACAAACTCAAATATCACAAAACCTATGACTAAATTATTGGAAATCGGTCTACCTGCAGATCCTTTTATCGACCTAGGCTACTTCTCGGCTGCGCACACCGTTGTCGGACGTTTTCTGAAGAATCTGAAAATGAATGTGGTTTAGTTTTGATCTTAGAGACTTATGCAGCGTTATCATAGAACCTTTGGTTCAACTGGTTGCGCACGGTCTTTTTTTGGAAAGTTTTTATGGTGTTAGTTCCGTTCTTGTTTAAAAGACCTTACCGCAGGGAATGGAAATCCATGAGGTAAGTTGAGGTGTGAAATTGTTTGGTTCGACCGATTCAAACCCCTTACATCTTTGTGCGAATGAAGCAGTACGACTTCGCTCTCCAAGCTTGAGTCGCTGCTTTTAATCTTATCGTTCTCCAATCGACCTGTCTGGCATGGTAGGACCTACAGAAACAATTGCTCTAGGCAATATTGCTCGGTTAGTTCATCTAGGTAGGCACTCTTGACCACTACGTCAAGGTAGTATCTATTGTTGGGCATAGAAAAGGCAACTATCTCGTTCTTTATGATATTTTCTGACTGTCATCAAACGGCCTTCTCAGTCCGCCACTTCTGATTTGCTCACCATATCACCACTCCTTTCTGAAAAGTAATTGGACGACTTGTTTTCGTAAGCTTCCCTTCAATCATATGAATAGATCTCTTTAAATGAAAACTTAGCCTTTCTTCTGAACACTGATGCAGTTTAGGAAATACCGATTGGTGAGTCTTGGTTTAGGATTGTTCTGCATGATTTTCTTCGGCGTGCCCTCTCTCGCGTAATTATTTTTGATCTTCATGTATACACATGTTACTAATATTATAAAAATATCAAAAAATGTTTTTATATTAGATTTGAATAGTTTTCATATACATGAAGATCTAGTTTACTTATTAACTGTTTAAACGTAGCCATATAAAATGATCCTAAGAGCGGAGTTTTTTTTAAATATTTATTTTGAAAGCAGATCAAAATTAAATGTGTATAGTCTAAGTACAATAGTTGCAGATCGTTTTTCTAAGTAGCAAGAAAATCAATATTAATAAATATTAGATATGTTGATATAGTTTCATTCTCATACTGATACACATGCTTCTTTTAGGAGAGACTATTATGCTAAGTAAAATGTTAGACTAAAAATTAAGGGAAAGATGTGACGGGCAAATAGAATATATGTATATATATATCCGTCCCTTTAAAATTATAAGCTACGACCTTGACAAATTATATCACTTGTACCATCCAACATTGTGCCTTGTTCAGCATTTGTCACCTAGCTTTTTTTTACGTTGAGACCAACATATGAGCAGGAGCACGTGATTAGTTTAGGTTCTCTTAGCTTTGCAATAAATAATTTAATACCAGATTACAGGGATAATTGGCACGATACTAAAGATTAGGCAGCATTATTTATCATTACGTTAGTCATAAAATACTTTGAGTGGATACTTGTGATACAGTAATTGAAAATATATGAAGCAAGCAAAATACATCAGAGATGACATAGTTTTGAATTATAAAATTATTGATTGGAAAACACTCCGTAATCATCATCTATAATAATGAATGTATCAAAGATATATCCACGCTAAGAAGGTCTAACTACAAAGTCAATTCCTGTTTTGGAATGATAGATGTCTTGTAGTGTATTATTGACAATTTTAGTACTTCGAATAATTCATCTGCATCCTTAATCTTTAAGTAAAATCGTAAAATGAGTAATTAGATACTTACTTAAACTCATTGATCACTGAATAATAGCTAATATCATTGTTTATGTAGCTAGTCTAGGTGTTTTCAGTTACCTTGGTGATTGTATGTTTTCATTATAGAGGACTAAAGGCGATTACTGAATTCGGAACAATATCACATATATCAAGTCTTTCTTAGCGCAGATCAAATTATATTGATCAGATTCTAGTTTGACCACTAGTTTAAGTGACTTGATATTGTGTGCATTATTTTTAGATGTAAGACAGTGGTTGAGGAAAGTTGATAGGGAACCACGAACCTAGTTTCCATGCTATTTGGCATTGACCTGTCATTTAGAATGGACTGATGCAACTTGATCAACAGAGTTCGATGAGCACTAAGAATGACATGACAGACGTAATATTGGTCACTGTTCAGTGATCAGCAGTATAAATACATATCAGTCCTATAGAAGGTCAGTTGCTACTGATATAGTTTAATGGTAACATCTGTATGAAACTAGCTGACACCTGATTTAGTTCATCAGAGAAAATCACCTCCTATATGGTAAGAAGTATACCTTGCTTACGACTAACAAATAACACAAAATATAGGTGAATATATAGTCAAACTAAATTCATGTGTTTTGGTTAACTCATTCATAATAAAATTGTGGCCTTTTATAAGTATTTCTTTTGTTACATTCTTTAAAATAACTAGTTATGTTATCTTCAATCTTTGTGTTGTTCGATTTAACATTTGGGTGGTAATTTTAGACGAGTATTCTTCAATCGACCTATTGATTTAAATATGATTCAGGAAAGGAACTGATTTCTGGAACAATTCTACATAAAGGATTGAACAGCAGACACTTTCAAATCGACCAATCATATGTTGTGAGTGAATCTTCATCCTTATTGGTTGATCATTAAAATGAAGTTTTTATTCGCAAATGTGTTAAGAAAGTAGATCAACTTGAACTGTTTCTATTGCGATGCGACGAGTAGTTATTCAGTGTCAACACGATGATGATATTCCAGTATTAATGGAAATAATCAATTCGGTAAGCGTGAAGAATTTTCAATATTTTGTGTTTAAATCTTGCTGTTAAGTACACTATCAAAGAAGCAGTTATTTTTGTGTACAAACTGACGTCACCTGAAATTCCACTGAGAAATATAGTTAAAACCAAATAATTTAACTATTTTACTCTGCCAAAGGGATTCTCGAATAATATTCACTGATTTTCTGATACAGTATTGAATCTAACGACTTTGATATATTGGTATAAATTAAATGACATATAGAAAAGATAAGTCTTATTTCAATACTCTGTAACTCTTCCAATTACTAAATATATGCACTAGACTTTAAAATCTTTACAGTGAAATAGATGAGACCAGAGTTTTTCCAATGTGTATGTTCTACTTGTTAGAATTCATCAGATTGATCATATTTAATATAACATGTAACTTATAAAAGAAACAGAACTCCAATGAAAATCTATTCAATAAATTCAAAAGTTATTCATTGTTTTTTTTTTAATTTATTTTGTATTCATTCAATTAACAGCATTGAAATTTAACCATAGTCAACTAAGTTCTAGGTTGACATAACAAGCTACTTAATTGTTCGTGAAGAGATTGTAATACCAAACTTTAATCTTCAGATTTTTACCGAAAACTCAGTGAACACAATATCATTAAAAGTGGTTTAATTATATATAATCTTTTCAAGTTTTCTATTGATTACCTTGAGCTATAGACTAATTAAATAACCATATATATATTTTTATTGACTAATTATTTCGTTTATTCCTTCCAAAAATATATTCTGACATAGTAAATCGAAATCTTCCAAAAATGTCAAAATATTGATTAGTTAGTCAACGAGACAGAAGTATGCTGTCAGTTTTTGTTCATCGAAGATATATGTAGATAGCTTTAAATAACTGAAATTTAATCCTTAGTGAAATTTACACTTTTATACTCAACATTAACACATGAAATGAACGATTTAAAAATATTGGATTTTGATACCTTAGTTGAACATTGAAAAAAAAAGAATGGTCATCTTCATACTGTATTTTTAACGCATACATTTGAATACTCATGCAGTAACCGTTGAATTTTTATCTGACAGATAAACCAGTCATTATATTGACATTTGAATTGCTAAAGTCTAAAGTGAGACAACCTTGAATATTGAAATAACATATTGTGTATTTATATACATTGTAATTCATGTCTAATAACTAGTTGAAATCATCAAATTGAATTGTTATTGAATTATTATGAATTGAATTGAATTATTATGATTGTACAAGTGTAATCGTCTCACAGAGATTATTTTTCAATTTACAAATGTTTATATATTCACGACAGAGTTATGAATAAATTCAATGTATATGTATATATATGTATATATTTTTTTTTCAATAATTATTTGTTATTTATTGAGAAAAAAAAGGAAAGAGAAAAATGAAATTCTTTTTAACATTTTTGAAAATCAAAATAAAGATTTCAGTTGAACTGATGTAGAAAAGAAAACACGTTCAGAGTAAGAAAAATACCGGTAGAGAAACTATGTAGTATGTGATTGTATTTTTTTTTTCTCTAGACAATCTTATTGTTTTAAAACAATTTTAATTTCATGTTTTCATTAAAACGTGAAGTAGATAAAAAGGGGATAAATAGTCAAGGACGGACATTATACTGTATTTTCGTTTAAATGTATAACTGGGATGAAGAAACACTACAGGAGAAGTGTAAACCTTTTTTCTAAAGTCTGTTATATTCAGTGCATGAGCGCTTAACGCTAACATTTTAACCAATTTCCAGTTCTGATGAAATTTCCCTTCACTTGAACTCTGAATAGAAGATGAAGGGTGGAAAATGCATGAAAAATGTTACTTTCAAAGTTAGCTTGGATACAGAAAACCATGAATTTATACCTGTATTGTGTGACTTTTATGTTATGGAAGCTTCTGGAGACATGCTAAATTTAGTAACAAAATTGGTTGTCGAATCACAAGATACGATACATAACACATTGATATTGTAGAACCCTTTGTAAAGTTTATATCGAATGTTGATTAAAAAAAAAGTGTTTCCAACTTCTGCCTTTTAACTTCTAACACAAAACGTTTACGCATAGTTATTGAAGGCGCCGAACAAAAGTAATCAATTTAAAGGTTATTAACTTGTTTGTATAATCGTTCAAGGACAATGCAATCTGGATTAATCTTATAATTTTCACTTAACTCTGTTCGAAATGAAAGGTTTTATTACTAGATAAAATCATTTTTTGTTAACTGACATTTAATCAGATAAAGTATTACAATAATAAAATTGTTAGGGGAAGTGAAAATGAAGAAAAAAATTATAAAATTTGGTTAGTTATTCACTAGAGCAAAAGTTTACATAGTTTTATTGAATATTCATTAAAATATTAATTTATTATATTGTGATAATTTCATTGATATCATGAATCGATTATTGAGAGACCATCGTTAGAAACCTGGAAGCCTTAGATTCCCGTTTCGTCCTAGTGAGGGAATCATCAAGCTTCTAGGTTTCTAATAATAGTCTAACATCTATCGATTCATGATTTCAATGAAACTCAACAAGCTACACAACCCTACAGTGAAAACTATCATGTTCTCACTAGTAACAATCTTCATGAGGAGATTCTCGGAGTTTTGTTGAGAGATCGTGATCAGTGGAGTTCAACCAGGTGTGAAGCAGTGCACACCGAAGAAAATGGATGAAGGTTGTTCAATATCGTGGATAGATTAAAGTTAGACATTAACACTGTTAGATTCCAGTCCAATGGCCTAGAAAGTAAGTGCTCGCGCGCGGGCCCGAAGGTCCTAGGTTGGATTCCTGCAAGCGTGGGTGGCGAATACACATTGCTGACGAGCCCCATAGTAGAGTCTGACGGTCGTACAGTGCTTCCAGGTTTCATCCTAATGGCTGTCTAACATGGGTCGATGCATGATTTCGATGTAACTTAACAATTTCCACAATTCTATAGTAAAAATTTTATTAACTGATAATGTTTCTATTAAATAAATAAAAGAAATCACTTCATCTACATTCATTCACATTTTTAGACAACAAACACATATTGGAATTTTAAAGATTCCCATTGGGAAAATTAGAACAACACATATAAGCGAACAATATTGTTTTCGATTAGATCGTCATCAGGCTTTACTCTAATATACATGAATATTTATATGAAAATGTTAAACCAATCAAGGCAATTTGAGTGATAATCACAATGAAATGAAAAAGATTACGTAACTACATCTAATAGGCAAAAGTTCAAGTGGATAATAGGAAAACAGGTGTACTGATAGTAGTATATTGATCATATTGATCAATATTAGCATGTTTAATTTTCAGTACTATTTGTTTTAATGCAAGTATGCATAACATAAATAACGGCTAATTTTCAAACATAGTTAACTGAAACATTCTAACTAAATTGTTAACTAATTCCAGGAAATATCGACTTTTTGGTGAGTCATCATAAAAGTCAATCTATAGATTTTTAATAGAATATTATCGATAAACAAAAAAATAGAAGTAGATTTATGTGAAGAAAAAAAAACCCACAAATACCATTTGATGTATTGAAACAATCATTGTTTGTTTTTAATTGAATGACTAACATACTTCTTTTGTTTCTTTTTTTTTTTGAAATTATCACTTTCTATTCATTATGTAATTATGTTGTGTTAAAAATAATTAATGATTTATTCAAAGAAAGAAATTTTTTAATTCTTGTAAAATGTAATCACGTGATCAAAGCAACACAATGAATAATACAAAATAATATCAAGTGATGTACATAAAATAAAATATAATTATTAATGAATATTAATTCATTATGTCAAACATTTATTTGTAAAATATTCTTTCATTTGTTTTAAACTGATAAATTTAAAATTGAACCTGTGGAATTGAAAGAATATGCTTTGACAAATGGATTTGGTTTTATAGTTATTGAAATATTTTTATTTTTGTACTAAATTAAAAATAAGATGGTAAGATGAGTTGGATATTGAATAATTAGTTGTTCTGATGGTTTATTGCACCTGCAGGTAAATAATCTAAGAACTTTTGTGAATTATTCTTTGCCAAGTAGTTGAAAGAGTAATCAACATATGAAACCCTTATTCTAGTAAGGTATAGTTCTCATTATCAGGGCGCATCCAAAACCACGCAGGCAGGAGTCGAGTCCAGGATCTTAACACTTAACCTTTTGATCACTGAGCTAGCATTTAACAGTATTAGTGTCTAACTTCAATGAAATTACGTTATTATGCTATCCTCAATCAAGCGTCTCAAGTTCAACAGAGTTGAACTCTATTGATGTTCAGGACTGAATGTTTATCAGTTCTAATTCACATTTGTACATCATGTGATTATCATCACAAATTTCCTGGAATAGACCAATTGCAACTAGGAGAGGGGTCTAGGAGATGCTTTTCATCCTATTTCAGACTTGTTACATAGAGATACTCAAATCATAGTATTAATACTCACATTGAGATTCAAACGCGATAACTTTTGCTTTAAAAGCCATCACGGTATCTCTACGAGCTACTGAAATGATGCAAATATGCCAACTCAGTCTGATTAAAATACAGTTCAGATTATCAACAACGAGATAATAGATATCATGCGCTGAATTCACTGGCTCAGTAGATAACACTTTAGGCATTTGATATGAAAACCGTTAGGTTGTAGTTCCGGAGGTAGTATAAACATTAGTATATATTTAGTTAAGAAACTATCCGAATTGGATGCTGTACGTCTCCTGAATTTCAGCATTGGTCAAAATGCAACTATTCCAAATAAACTGAAGTAGTTTGAATTGAAAACTACACACTGACAGTCAAAAATACTTCCACTCTTAAATGTCTACAAATAAGAACAATTATATCATTACATATATATCTATATATATGTTTGCAGTGTTAAATGTCATCTAGTCAATAGAGTTTGGAGTTACAATGTATGTATGCACGTAGAAATGAATTTACTTTCTTTATTTTATGCCATTTTATCAATTGTATTCAAGAATTTCACATGGGAATAGTAATCATAACATTACTTATAATTCTGCCTTAAATATCACTATAGATTTGATTAAAAAAGTAATCCAATTTCACTATGATTTATTTCTGTGTACTTAATATTCAGTAAAGTAGAAAAGATTTTTTTCTCTCTCTAAACATATCTTAAAATGTTAAAAGTTTAAGTAAAAGCGCACAGTGGACAAACACACCTTTGGAAAAGGTATGATTTACTTCAGTGATTTTGTTACATAGACTTATATGATCCAAACTGACATCACCAAGAGAAGCATTGGAAACCAGAAAGAGAGAATGATAGATAGATGATAGTGGACAATGTTATACTTTAAATCCTACACTAGTCCTAATTCGACAAATACTAAGAAATCAGCCAAAACTAGATAGCTGTTTTGTCCTAGTATAAGATTTTCTACTAGTTTACTTTACCGGAGATTGAACTCATTAATCTCAGGTCCCATAGTGAGCGCCTAACCTCTCCTGCCACTAAGAATGTATCCAATCTTTTGTATGCTGAATTTCGATTATTTCTTCATAACACAAAATATTATAGTCTGCCTAGTGCCTAGCTGTATAGTTAAAAATTCCTGAGTACATTCTTATTTAGTTTATTGCTTCGAAATTGAAAACATGAATGAAACAATTGACACATCTGATTAGTTTTGTTTTGTCACGTGATATTAATCAATGATTAACGAAACAACACGTACATGATATTTTCATTTCTTTTTTTTGTAAATGAATATTGAACAGCACGTACAGAAAAAAACAACTGATCTACCACATACTACTGAGCTTTCTATAAATGACTGTGACATTTAAAGTAGGATTGTGTAATTGCCGAATACTTTTGTTGTTATTTTGGTTAGAAATAATTACTAATTTATCACAGTAACACTGAATGGTTACTTAGGTGACTTTGTTAAGGAGTGAGAATAACAATTGCTTTAAAAACCTTTGCGAAGCTGAAAAACGTTTCACTTTACGTTCAGGCTATTAGTTTTTTTGAAACGGTTGGTAAATTTTAAAAGCCGATTAGTCACAGAAATGGCTAGTTTTAGTGAATTCTCTAGCCGTTTATTTCTGATATTGGACTCATCAACAGTGCTCAGTGACCAGTGGAGGTCAACCCTGTCGTGTGTAGGTAGTAGTTATCAAAGATAAAGGATGAGGTTGTGCAAAATCCTTTGATTGTTCTGAGTTAGACATTAAACCCATTGGATGCCAGCTCAGTGGTTCAGAGGTTAGGCGTCCGTGCGCAAGATCGAAGATCCTAGGTTAGATTCTTGCGAGTGGTGGGAGTCGTGAATGCGCACTGGTGATGAGTCCCACATAAGGAGGAAACGACTATGCAGTGCTTTCAGGTTTCTAATATTACTTATTAATATTACTTTCTAATATTATTTTATATGTTTAGACACTATCATCAGATTTGAACTGTTCTATCTTTTCATCACTCCATACGTTTTCTTTCTCATTATCCCATTGTCTTCTATTTGTTTTCTTACCTTTTTGTAGTATGGTGGTAGTTTAATTCGACCACCATCACCTCAACGGTTCGATATGATTCATGTGGATTTATCTGAAGAAACTGAAACAACATTAGAGGATTTTGTCAAAGAATTGGAAAATAAAATTCCGTCAATTGCAGTGAAGGTATTTTAAGGAGACACCGACACTCAGAACAACAGCAGTAACAATGTTACACAAAATGAGAATGTTGCAAAAAATAACAACATTATTTATTGAATTTATTATTGCTATTATGTTTTCACAAAAATTTTATCCTATTCCATGAAAATTTTTTAATGACGATCAATAAAACCTATTACGTCACTGAGTTTAACAAAGAATACTGTTTTTTAATGATTACATTTACTAAAGTTGTACGATCGCATTTAGAGTTAGCTGACATTTAGGAGAAAATTGTTACGTCATTCGCAAAGTTGATAAATATCAATAAAAGATATTTTTATACGATATTAGGTTGTAAGAGTTAGCCTATAGAAAATCCTGAACCTATCATTCGACTTGTTTACCAATCATCATCATGGAGTACCTCCTGTCTTGAGGAAACTGACCCTCCTTGTGTGAGCTGAGTCCATACCGCCTAGTTTCACGGTCTGAGATGTTGTCACTGAGCTATTCTCACTATGACCGACATACTATGACCTAAGATATTACCATTGACTGGCTAGTGGCTAATGTCATGTTTGTCTAGTCCTTAAAGTACTGATTAAATTCCATGAAGTTGCGTTTCAGTCACTAGTTTGAATGACTTGATGTCATGTAGATTATTTCAAGATGTTAGATGATTGAAAGTAATCCATAGGAAACCGTAAAGAAGGTTAATCGCGGTCTGAATAGTAGTTTAGTAACATGTCAATCAACTGAGCTGGGTGATGCAGTTTCCAATCTACCAGAGTTTATAAATTCACTTAAGATAGGAGGTACTTGCTGAAAAGTAGCAGCAAAAAGCCCAGATCAAACAAGATTTTCTACAGGCTACCTTCAACTACCTAATATTTCAACATTGTGCATAGGATGTTAAGTCCTGTAGACTAGTAGCTAGATAGCAATTTTATCAAACGAACTCAACCAACACTGAAGGGACTAGATCTGTATGTCATTAGTCACTACTTACTGATCAACCAGTCATATGTTTTCATGCAATGTTGCTAAAAAATTGTCAGGTGACAAGGAGCTGATGAAACGGAAACAACATATGGAAGAAAGATGTTTAAAATAACTATTCACTTGATGAGTATAAAGAAGAGATGAATACCCCTTATCATGAATTGTTACAGAATTATTAAAATGCAACAACGAAAAGGAGACTGTGGTAGAACAAGGGACTATATATATATCACTTTTAAACAAAAAGGCCAAATTTTTAAAAGCCTCAGCTATCTACAGATTTCTTTCAAAGTTTTCTTCAGAGAAAATTCGTTTGACTTGCACAGTAATTTTTTTTTGTAATGAAGTTTCTTGTGGAGAGAGATGATCAGAATTGACAATATTTTCAGCAACATAGTTAACAGATTTGAATTCGTTTTTAGATAACTAGATTAGAAAATATTCGGATGTTCGATTGAATAAGGTAAGCTTTGTTTGGTCAACATAAAATGCTTCATAGAAGGAAGTTTCCTGATAGATACACATAAAGGTGATCCGAAGCGCCAAGTTCTCCCAAACATATCTGAGTCGACTACCTAACAGAGGATATCGTTTGTAGACCGGTGTTCTTTAAAGCTTGTCTTAAGATCTCTACAGTCACTATCCTCTTTGTAAAACATCTCAATAATCCTTTATGATAAATGATTCCTATGCTTATACCTTTTCATAATGAAGTTTCACTTCATGTGTCCGGTATATGGAACTGTGAATCAAAATTGAGTATTTTAGATAAGATTATACTTCACTACCGTTATTTGAAGACCGGTGTTTACCCTTAGCTATTGATTTCACTTCACTTACATTTTGAAGCTGATAGAATGATGAAAATCAACCTAAGATAGATTTCACACTAGTAAGAAATCATTTTAAGTTAGTGAACAGTTTTTTTTGCCGCTGATTCAAGTCCATGTCACCAAATGTCACAGACAAAGATGTTATCACATAGCTACATAGCTACCTTTAGTTACCTTAACTTTGTGTAAAACTTGAATGATCTACTCGAATAACAGTCATATCTTGTTAATAATATCTTAGATAGTTGAAATCGGAAAAAGAATTAAATACTAGTGTAGTGAATGAGAACACAGGTGGAGGCAACCGAATTGTATTTAACGAAAATTACAGAGTTACTCAGTAAAATCGGAAAAACCATATCGTAAATCGTTCATTTGCAAAAGATCAGTTCATCCTATGGAACTGGACTGTTCCTGTTGCCAAACATCAATCCATTGTCACTCTTCATGCGTTTCATACAAATTCCATTGTTTTCTGACTCTTCCTTCTTGATCTTCCCCCCATATTATGCTACCAGACTTTACGTTGACACTCACGCTATATGCTACTTATAAGTAGTTCGCACCACAGCACCACACTAGTGATCTGACAGTCTATTTCAACTAAGTAAGCCACTTACATGATATGCATACATGCAACTGATTTTTTCATTCTTTATTGATTGTTATCTTCATTATTGAACAGATGAAATGATTGATGGCTAATATGCGAACATATTCCAAATATTTGAGATGCAATTCAACAGTTTTCTTAAATGAGAAAAAGAACAGTCAACATAGAATAATTAAAATGATCAAAATATCATCATCTCAAAAAAAAAATCACTTTTGACTTAAACTCACTTTAAAATCTATACATAATCAACATTGATCATATAATTTAATTGAATAACAAACTTAATGGTTGCAGAACAACAAAATTCTTTCTGGTTTTTGCCAAATTAATTAACTCTGACAAGAAATCTTTCAAACTGTACAATTTATTTTTTTTTTTTATTTATTACTGTGTTTTAATTGATGTTAATTTCTTTTGTAAATGTCTTAACAATGCGTTTCTTTTAAAGTGATGAATTTCAACTTTATTGCACAATAAGAATAGAAGTAAAATGTTCGGTTACAAATAGATTGATTTGTATTTTAAGGTTGTGGTTGATGTAATACACCTGCACACAGTAATTCAATTGTTTAATAAACAACAAAATATTGACTAGTGAAAGTGTTTATTGTCATAGTTCACTGTAACCGAAGTATGTATTACCATATAAACAAATAAATAAGAAACCGGATAGGCTGCTTACAATCTTCGATCAATCACACGTTATAAATTTTTAGTGCGTATACATATATGTTGAATCCGCATGGCTTGTCCCAGCCTTTGGACAAATTCAACAATCTATTCACACGCCTTTCGACCTTGTCCGTCGTTGGATCGACTGTGTGTGCTTGGTTACTTCGCTTATCACATGTCTGGCTTATTTTTGTCTGACTATAAATACTCATCCTACCGAATCCGTATTAAGCTTCTTATTACCTCCGTCGCACAAACGAGGTTCGCCTAAATATGATCTACGGAAATTTAAGCAAAGGTTTATTTCGTCGCATACTCAGATCGTGGACCCTTGAAGTGGTGTGCCCTAATTCGTATTTAAGTCAGTCACTGAAATTTAGGTACATAAACCTTGATATAATGGAAAATCGGAATATAGATGTACCATACAAATAATTTAATTTGTCTGTGGGCTGGGATACTGTCCATGTTCTCAAACCAAAACATATGGTTTACTTAGAGAGCGACTCCCCGAGTTTTCGACCCGAAAGTCTGGTCCATAAGGCGGTGGAGCAATGTTAAGAGATGCTGTCCCATGGAAGTCGGTGACCAACAATAGGTTCATACGTCATTTGTTACTTCAGGATCCTGGAGCCCATGGGCACAGGGTTTTTCTAACCCACAGGTTATATGGACTGGATATATGAAACTGATATAATGGGATATTATATTTTGTGATCACCATAAAAACAATATAGACAGTATTAATTCATGATTCGAGGACAACCTATTTTTTCAGTCTAGCCTACTCTTTTGAAATTCAAATGGATAGATTCAGGTATATTAATCAATAGACTTAAATTTTCTTGGTAACCTATTCGACTCTCGATATATGTTTATAATTAAGCAACTTATCGAATAAAAAGAAGGAATTACTCTTAACTAATCAGAATTTAATTGTAATGATATGTTATTGTGACGATCTATGATACCATAACTTTTGACTTCATCCAATTGAAGTTTACATGTGTTGAAATCTGAAAAGAATTTACTCAGTTTTTTTTTTTGAAAGTTGTGATACGTTAAATGTCAGTTAAATATATTCCTTTCTTTGTTTCGATTATACTGAACCACTTGACTTGTTCATCATCAAATTGAACGATCTATTCAGCTTCTTAGACTAAATGAACTTTTGGATAATAACCGATTCGTGTATGTAATTTTCGTCTTTATTTGATATTCATTAGTTTGACACATTTCCATCACATAAATGATTTTCATTCACAATGTGATTTGAATTGAGTACGTTTTTTATTTGTAGGTCAACTTGTTATCTGTTGAGCTACTGAAAATTAGTGGCCAACAACTAGTTCAATCAATATGACATATATATCCATTAATCGTCGGGTGTATAAATAACTCTGATTTACCAGCACACCTAAGTGAACAGTCCAGAATAAGATGAAAGATATGTCCTGTTAATTAGAATCCATCTAAAACTAAATAACTTTTGATTAAATTAGTATATCATGGCAATCTGCATAGGGTAAACATATATTAATTAACAAAAGCTGATCAAAAATTCAGCTTTGAGCAATTAACAAAGAGATAATTCAAATTCTTAAAAATAATATTTTTAAACATGACTATTTCAGTAAATCATCTATCATTTCTTTTTCATTTAATTAGTAAAGTATTTTTTTTTCTAGATTATCCCATTATTCACATTTTGATCAGTTTTAGTTAACATTTTTGTATTTTTATTAAAGGCTTGTGAAGATTGTTGAGTTTGATTGAAATCATCAATCAATTCATCAACGTTAGACCACAATTAGAAACATGGAAACATTGGTCAACTGTTTTGTCAACAGTGTTTATTCACTATCCCGCCATGTTTATTCTACATGGATTGTTTTGATAGATAATCATTTTGTCAAGTTGTTTTTCTTTCTTTTAAACTTATAAATTATGGCTAATTGAAGAACATGTTCAGCGTTTTGCATAGAAAGATAGTAGATTTGAATCAACGATGAAATTCAGTTACATATAGATGACGAGTTTCGAATAGAACAAAACACAATATATTGATATCTAATGTAACATATCTTATTATAAA